CTATCTACTGGGGCTTTGGGGAAAAAAAAGGAGGAGGATTGGCAATAGATGTTAGCTCAGAGCTGGTCTTCCTCAGCAAAAAGAGGAGGATTAGCATGCATGTTAGCTCAGGGCTGATCTTCCTCACAAAGAAAAAAAAAAAATTAATGATTTTATCAAATTACATTACAAAGTGAAAAAAAAAATCTAAATGTATTAAAAAACAAAGCAGTCCACTGTTGCACCTCCAAGTTATGCTCCATAGAGGCAGCCACTTTCAACTCTTTTAGCTGTTTCTCTTGTTTATACCTTCATGTTTCTAAATAGCATGCTTATACTGCTACTTTGTGATTTAACAATTTTAGACAGTGACTACTGTCATCAGCTATAATGGTCGTGGATTCAGGTCTCTGAATCCTTCCACTTCCCTTTCCCTTCTCTCAACAACAGTTGCACCACGTTTTTGATTAGTAAAGAGTCAGAGTTTGCATTATTATATCTAGGTAAATACAGTTCAATCCTGAGCTAATATTTTGCAGTTATAATTTCTCTTTCATCTAACATTTGGTTTATCTTATAGTTAAACTACATTTGTTTAATTTTCCATGTATAAAATTCTGGGTGCCCCCCAACCCCACACCAAATGCTGTAAAAGATTGATTAAATGTACAACAAAGCTTTTTCAAACACTCAAGTATACTGGATAATCTCTCATTTCAGTTTTTTGTTTTTTAATTCTATTTTACCTTGGAAATCTTTCTCCCACAGCCTGCTCCCATTTGGTCTAAGTGCTCCCTAGGCCTGGTTCTGTTAGGACTTGTCTTCCCCAGTCTAGTTAGCTTTTGTTTAATTTCTCGATTCAGTCCCTCGTTCTGCTGAACTTCATCTTCCTGCAGATTCTTCAGAAGAGTACACGAAAGACAAATTTTTTTAGCCCTTCCATGTCTGAAAGTATCTTTATGGAATCCTCACACCTGATTGAATTCTAGACTGGGTATAAAATACTAGGTAAATCACTTTCCCTCAGAAACTGAAGATACTTTTCTACTGTCTTCTAGCGTAAATGGTACTTACTGTGGAGAAGTCCCATGCCATTCTGATTCTTTTTTAAAAGATTTTATTTATTTATTTTTTTCCCCTTAAAGCCCCAGTAGATAGTTGTATGTCATAGCTGCACATGCTTCTAGTTGCTGTATGTGGGACGCGGCCTCAGCATAGCCAGAGAAGCGGTGCATCGGTGCGCTCCCAGGATCCGAACCCCGGGCCGCTAGCAGCGGAGCGCGCGCACTTAACCGCTAAGCCATGGGGCCGGCCCTGATTCTTGACTCTTTCCATGTAAACTACTTTCTCTCCTGGGAAGCTTTTAGGAAACATTCTCTCTGTCCCAGGGGGTGTGAAACTCCACAGTGATGTGGCTTGTTGTAGAACTGTCATTAACTAGGCTGGACAAGCTGTGTGCCCTTTCCAGGAGGAGGCTTGTGTCCATCAGTTCTGGAAAACTTTTGATGCCTGCTCTGATATCTGTTCCCCAACATTAAACCCAGCATATATGGGGTTAAAACCAAAAGCACCCCATCCCCTTCTTCTCTAGTTCTAATTACAGGTTCTTGAAGTTTCTTACAGGGAAACTGATGTCCAGAGAACATCAAGAAGCTGAAGCTCCCAGACCCCAACTCCTCGTCTTCCTGGCACCAGAATCCACCCTCCATCATGGAGGCAGACAACCAAGGACACCCACCTGCGGATTCCCTTATCTGGCCATCCCCTTCTCTGCCAGCAGCCTCACGAGGCCAAAGGCAGGCTGGTGGGAAGGCGCCAACCAGCAAGGCCACAGGCTCCCCCTCTCTACAAGCAGCCACATTCCTGGTAACCTTTAAAAATCCCTGCCTCCCATCTTTCGAGGAGAGGATTTTGAGGGCTTACTCTCATCTCCTGGCTGACGTCACCCAAAATAAACCCCTTTGCTTGCCATAACCCTGGCATTCCAGTTTTTATGTTGGTCCCTCTTGTGTGACAGGTAAAAAGAACCTGTGTTTGTGGCTGGTAACACTTTCTGTCATATTTTTGATAATTTTCTCTCCTCTAGTCTCTATTTTTGAAACTCCTGTTATTAGCATATTGGATCTTCTGGATAAGTCCTCCATATTCTTATTCCATGTTTAATGTTTTTATCATTTGGTTCTAATTTCTGGTAAACTTCTTAATCTCAACTGTTCAGCCTTTCTATTAAATTGATTTTTATCATATTTTTAATTTCAAGGAGCTTTCATGTTTTTGGGAAACAGCATCCTGTTCTAGTTTTACACATGCAATTATCTTTTTGAGGGAATTCTAGTTTTCATGAAGTTTCCTTCAGGCTTCTGCTCCTTCAGAGTTCCCTTCACTCCTTTATGTTTTGGTATCTCTTGTGTTAGAAGCTTTCCTCAAAAGTCTGCTGATCCTTAGCTGTTCAGTCACATTTAAAAGTGAGATACTAAAAATTTTATTGGAAGCGCTGTCTGTGCAGAGGTTGGTCACTGGTGGCATTACAAGGGAGGGTGATAAGGGGGCCAGTTGGCTTTTTCACTGCAGCCTCCAATTTTTTTTTCTCCAGACTACTTCCTGCACTGTCACAGAGGTGGGAGGAGAGAATTATGTGTAATACACCTGTAGTTAACATTGCAGGAGAAGGACGTGCAGAGCAAGTTGAAGGGTCCCCAGTTCACTTTGTAGATCTTTATTTTCTACATGGCACCTTGCCCATGCTTTCCATGATACCCGGTGTCTTCAAATCCTGAGCACCCCAAAGACTGTGTCAGCTGCACTGGTTTGATTCTCTTTGGTATTCCATTAGGCAGGTACTTAGGTTGTAACTTCTTTTACTCTGCTATACCACACTTCTGTATGCTTTTTCTTATTCAACAACGTACTGAAAACATTTCTACATTTTTTTTTCTTTCCTCTTTTCTTGGTTTTTATACGTTTATGTTGTCTTTCTTGAGAGATTTTGGAGAGAAGGGGAATTGAATGCATGTGGTCATTCTGCAATTTTAACCAGAAACCCACGTATAACTGTGATTCAAGTCAGAAACTCTTAAGGCTGGAGATAATCTAACACCACCTAAGTTTCAGAAAACAGTCATGTGAGGGGCTGATCTGTCCAATGTCTTACAACTAGCTGATAATGGATCCAAAGTTAAAAACTGGGTGTTTTCATAGGCAGTCCAGTAGCTTTTTCACTATATACTAAAATTACTAATTAAAGCTTAGTATCAACTTAAGTCAGACTTGTTAGGGAAACACTGAAGATACAAGTTAAAATGTAGTTTTCTATATATGAGGACTAAAATCAAATAAATAAAAAAAAACATTTTAGCTTCAATTTTTCTATCTCCATTTAAAAAAAATCTGGTAACAAGTTATAAGCTATCAGTATAGGTAATACTCAGTAAACATTTTTGTGCCAAACAGGAACATTAGAATGTGACCTTAACTTTGCCATTAGTAGAGAAGACACTGTACCTTTAGATAGAACTTCGAGATCTCAAAGAGACGCTGGCTGCAGGCAGTGAAACATTCATGAGCCTCAGTAATGCTGTGTTTCTTCAGGGTTTCAGTAACTACTTCTTTCAATATCTTGAACAGAACATAACATATGACTAAATTTCTTGGAAAAGGTACAAACATATTTCAGCTTTAGAGTTCAATTCTGTGAATTACACGGTCATGTAGCTATGTTAAAGATAGATAAGCTCATTAAGATAAAACAAGAGAGATCTGTAACATTTACACAGTCACACGTGTCACAGGATAATATCTGTCAGTGAGAGATGACTGGAGTATCTTAAGAGAGGAATTCAAATCACGAGCTCTGCATTGAAATCAGAGTGTAAAAGTTACACACAGCAGGGATATATACATGTGTATTTATTTTTTATTATGGAAAATTTTAAACACTGAAAAGTAGAGAGAAATTTTATAACAAACCCCTATCTTGATATATCAACCAGCTTCAACAAGGATCAATTTGTGACTAATTTGTTTCATTTTATCCTTGCCCACTTTCCCAGTATTCTTCTTACACTGGATTATTTTAAAATTATAGATATCATTTCATTTCATTTGTAAAAGTTTTAGACATACATTTTACATGACTCAAATAAAGGATTTCTTCCCATGCAGAACTAAGACAGACAGGAAATAAATCTGTACCCGTGTGTGTTTCTGTGATCTTGATTCCTTAGTTTGTCTTAACGTTTTTGATTCATGCGTACTTTTTTGACCTGAACTGGCCTTTGTGGTGATTTTTGAAGTTTCACAGCCAAGAACTGGAACAGATGGACAGGTCATAGATAATGATCTCTCTGCCCGTGTCTTTCTGGATGTCACTGCATGATGGTGATGATTAGAAATGCCACTTGTCTGAGAAAGAAGAGAATCTGAACTTTCCGATTTCACAAGTCTATTGTGGGGAAAATATCAAAAATATAGAGTAAGTGAATCAACAATGAGGCTCATTTTCTGTCCTAAATGTTGCAACTACGTCCACTGACATATAAACCCAAGAAAAGCAAATAAAATTTCTTGCTACTACTGCCTTAAACAAGCAAACAAATCACATTATACACTGCTCCCTTAGTTCTTCAAATGAGTGACTTAAACATAGAAGGCAATGAATAACAAACTAGAATTTCAGCTAGTAGGAAAAGCAACAAGCAATATTACTGTCGCCCTCTCCCTCAATTTAGAATTTCTCACATAAATCAGCTATGGCATGCCAGGTGGTGCTATTTATAGATTCAATACTCATCTGTTAAGTACTTACACTCTTTATTACGATAATTTTGATGAAGAAACCTATACTTATTGTACCTAAGCAACTACCTGTGCAAAATAAATAACAGTGTTAAAACAAATACAAATAAAACTATAAACTAGCTCTTGTTTCAATCTTTCTAAAATGTTTAAATTTCCTTTTACAAGATAGGGTCTCATATCCTTCTATTCTGCTTACCCACAAGCCACAGTGCACTTTCTTTTCTGGAACACATATCTTTTTATTAGTCACAAGTCAGAAATAAGAAATATTATTACAAAATACAGTACCCTAAATGTCAATGGATTTGCTTTTTCGCTTTATCAGGTGTAAAAAGTACCATGAATTTGTAAAGTCCTCATGAAAATAACTTAGCTATTCCATATCAGGGAAATAGTATTCTAATATTTTTAACTGTTTAAAAAAAGATCTGAAAGTTTCACTTTAATGTATTTCATACTTTTGAAAGGTTTAAATCCAATAAGAATTTTAGGCTTGATTTAGATGCCAAAGACCTAAATTTGATTCTAAAAATATATAAATTCAATAGAAATTAGAGTGTTTATTTCATAAAGTTCTAATTTCTGCTCAAGTATTTGGGCATTTTATTAGGTAGCAAAAAAAGGTATCTAGAAAAGTTTCATATAATGTATTACTATGTAGGCTTTAAAACTATATTTTATATGAAACAAGTGGTTTTAAAATGGTGCCTCATGGAACCTTTTGTTTACGGGGCCAATGCAGGCAGACAGTGGTGAGAGCAGAGGGAAGGAAGAGCTAACAGAATTGCTGTCCCCAAACACCCTCAGCAGCTCAGCTCCTTAATCTATTGGATAAGATCTCCAGTGTTCCATGGCTTCAGAATTTTACCATCCATGGTGCTAATGGATTGTATATTAGCATATAAAGCAAGCAACAGTGTGTTTTTCCAAAATCATTTCTTTTTATAACTTATAAGCATAATCGTCAACTGTTCACAATAAAAACAAAATTCCTGGTATGAAGGAATTAATCTAAATTCTATGCAGAAAGCAACTTAAAAATATGAAAGACTAATATGAAGAAAAAAATTACCCTAAGGACTATAATACTTTTTGTTTGGATACTATCTTTATGCACTTAATATATCACCTTTTTTTGGGATAAAGGCAAGTCAGATCTTTTGATCTCCTTTTCAGCCGGGATGCTTTGGTCTGGAGTTCACTTTGTAAAGCTTCTCCGTCAGGGACACTTCCAGGCTCTGATAAAACTGCAGGCGATGGAAGAGGGCTCAACACAGTCGGTACTGGAAAACTTTCTCTGGTACAGGTAGTTTGAGTTTCATAACGAATAAGACGAGACTGAAGTTCAGAAAATCCTCCATCTCTTTCCAGTGCTTTTCGGTCATCTAAGCAATATCTAAACAAGAGAAAGTTCATGAAAATCAAAGCCTCCACGACAGCAATGGGCTTTTCCCTACCAATTAGGAAATAGCAAAATATTTACTTAAAAAGTTCTTCCTTAACTTCCTAATAATTGTTGGAAGCTTGAGTGAGTGGCTGACTTCCCTCACAATTCCAGTTTTTTCTAGCTTGCTGGATGACATGGCCAAAGATTAAAAAATTCGAAGTACAATCTGATTCCTCTTTGACTGTTTCTGGGCAATAGATTAAGTTAATCCTCTGGCTTATTTTCAAAATAATACAGTTGCTGTTTTAATACTTTTTAAATCTCTACTAACCTCTGACTCCTCGGCATGGCTGGTATGTAACAACGTGAAATGCTGACTTCTGTTAGAACGGGCAAGTTTATTTTCAACACAAAGATTAAAAGGGTATAAAAGCATTCTAAACTGGCTCACCAAACACAGCTCAGAACATTTTGACTTTTTCTTTGAAACTCACTTCCCATCTTATTGACTGATTGACAGATTTTCCTTCAAACACTTTGGCTGTCTCTGTGCATCTGGTTTCTAGCTAAATCTGATTCAAGGAATCAATGCAATGTTAGCTCTGTGAATGCTTCTGGACTTAAAGAAATCCTATGCTGTTAAGTACAACAAATAAGCATATCAGGAAAATTACCTATGAGATGTGTGACTCTAAAAAACTCTTTACTTTCTCCCCTTCTACAGCTGCATCAAGGAAACACAAATGGTTTCATATATGTGACGGTAGGACTACAAAAATTAAACCCTTTCTCTGTTATCTGTCCTCTTCACTTTTAAAATTCTAAGATGCTCCCTAGAATCTGAACTTTGAGTCCATAAGCTGTTAGTTCATCTCCCAAGGAGTATACTGTTACCCTAACATTTGATTGCCTAATGGAGGTTTAAAGGACTTTCTTTTTCCTTTGTGACACTTATGTATTTGATTTCCAAGAGTATAGACTAGGGAGCCAGGCTCCCTGGATTTAAATCTGCTCTACCACTGATTAGCTGTGTGAACTTGGCCAACCTACTTAACTTGATCTACGCTTCTGTTGCTTCATCTGCAAAATGAGATTTATAGCAGTTATCTGAAAGAGCTACTGTGAAGATTCCTTGAATGAGTAACATGTAAGCACTTAGAACCAGTTCCTGGAACATGCAAGCAAAATAATATTATCAGCAGCAGCAGTAGCAGGTTTATTTTCCACCACAGTAAATGTTATAGTATGCTGATAATATATAGCACAGTAAGGATTTAGATCCAGGTTGGTGACTTCAGAGCCTGACTTTAACCAATTTAGTAGACTCTCTCTCAACGTAAAGTGTAAGGATCATCTTACTCAGGGATCAACCTATGCCTGAACATTAGAATTATCTGAAGAAGATTTTACAAAATACTGATGCCTGGTCTACACACATGCCCAGAGTTTCTGATTCAATTGGTCTGGGGTGATACTCAGTCATGGACTTTTTTTTCTTTAAAAAGCTGTTTAGGTGATGCTAAAGCGTAGCTAGGACTGAAAAATCCCTGTTCTAACCCAACGGTTTAATTTAACAGGGGAGAAAACTGAGCTCCTAAATCAGAATGCTAACTGGTGGCAGAACAGAGACTAGAACTCAGGTCTCTCAATTCTTTGTCTAACATTCTTTCTCTAGTCTTTTGTTTAATAAAATAGATTTCATTAAAAATGAGCAGCAACCCTAAGGATTACTGATGAGTCCTACTCTACCCTGGGCAACTGATAGAATCTAGAATAAAATTAAGAACCATGAATGTTAAGAAAGGTACTAGGCAAGAGGCAATGTAATGCCTGATGAGCCTACAGGAAATTTTTGAGAGAAAAGATGTATATTTTGACTCCAAATGAAGGTTCTTTTTCTACTCTAATTTTGATTCTAAGATGCATATTTTTTCCTTCCAGTTTTAACACTTCTTGATCATAGCTGTTCATAATGTCATCCCTTCAACTGAATTATGTGCACTGACTTTGCCATTTAAAATGCCTTCAAAATGATTATACTATGAATTGGCATTGAACAAAAAGTTACTTTGTAAATAAGAAAGGAACAGAAACAGAGTAGCAGGGTGTATATTTGACATTAGTGAAGTAAATATTCACTTTTGGATGAATGACTACAGTTCCATATTTTTTTGCAAAAAAATAAACAAATGCTTTATGTATCCAAAGGAAAAAAATACCTATAAGAAGATGAAGCTATTTTTGTTTTGTAAATACAAAATAGGCAAGATATTGCCTATCACACACCAAGCAATGCCAATGAAGGCAGGAGAAACTGTCAAATCTCTTGGAATAGATGAAAGAAATTTTAAAGCAACAAGAGGCTGGTGTGACCAACTGATTGTCACAGTTTGACAGCAGAGTTTAATTTGTTGCTAAAGAAAACAGTGCATCTTACAATCAACAGTATCTTATACTCCAGGATAGGATAGATAACTGAAAAACAAAACAAACAAACTGGCCAACAACAGGTATATATCATCTTGCCTTAAGAAACATTGATTTGCACTTGAGCAGTTTATATGTTTTTTCCAAATATTCCTTATGTCAGAGTAGAGGAATTGCTCAAGGATTCTAAAGGCTTACAGCAACACAGGAAGAGAGAACTTTCTTTGCAGTTCCATATTTACTTTAAAATTTCACTTGACTTTTGTTTCTACTCCACAATCCATGTTTAACATAAATAGGCCCCCACACTATACACCCAAATATTGAAAAAAGCATGTTTCTGGATTCACCATGCCATCTCCTACAACTTCCTTAGTTCAGTCTCAATGCCGCCAGCTTAATGAGCATAAATTCACAGTACAGAAAACTGACTCACAGCTACATTTGTTTATTTGCCTATGGGGGTAGGTAGGTAGTAGAGGAGAAGAGAACTATTGCTTTATAATAGAATCTCATAAAATTATATGTGTATAAAACAATAAATTAAGTTCTGCCTAGATTTAGCCCCATCAAGAAACAGTGCTCAAATAACTCAATTTAATATTTTGATAAATGATCATGAAGAATATATCTTTTACAAATTCTATAAATTTATACGTACCATTAAAAGTTTTCTAAAGCAAACTAAAAACAACAGAAGAAAAAAGTAACAGAAGAAAAAAGTAGGGAGATAAGACTTTGACCAAAATTAAACTATAGCATTTTGGGAAAAATAATCAAAAATATGGTTATATGATTGATACTTCAGTCATGAGTTAAAACGGAATTATTATAGCTAATTCCATTCAAATCAGTGCTTCAGTAAGTTTGTAGGGCTGAAGAGGAGAAAAACATGTGTCTCATGGGGTCAATATTTTGGCCATGTAGCAAAGAAGATGTTAATACTACTACATTTTCTGACTAGAGTAGAATATTGTTGATCATAATAATATAAACACTGTCTACTGGTTTCAACTTTCAGATTCAGGTTATATGCAAAATACCTTAAAATGTTGTTATGTTCTACTAACAGATTAGGAGGCCCCAAAATTCTTATCAAACAAAATGAGAGATAATACTCCTTTATAGCTGATGGAATAATAAATAGAAGTTTAGACACATTATTTGAAAACATCAAAATAAATAGCAGAAAACTCAAAGTGAGAAGAATGGGAACCAAGTCCTCATATTTCATAGTAGAGTCAATAATATTTTATATAGAAATATTAATAAATATTGATAGAAGGATATTCTTTAGAGGAAGAGAAGTGACCATCAGAGAAACTAAAATCAAACAAATAAAACCCTTGTTTCTAAAAACTGAGACTGGAGGTAAGGATAAATAAGAAAAGGAATTGTTGGTTTTTATTATAAGCTTTTCTGTAATGTATAATTTCTATGTCTTTAATAAAAATCAAACTGAGGGGAGAAAACAGAAATATACATCCTATTAATCAAATTTTTATATACTAGAAAAAAGAAGCTCCCACTTAAATTGGATTAAGGCAAATTTAGTACAAACAAAAAATCAAATTTGTAATCATTGCACAAAAAGGGTATATAGCTAAAAAAATGAATAGTTTAAACAAAAGGTTTAGCTAAATTCAAGGCCATTTGAGAAACATACCTAACTTTTTCATGTTAAAGAGAAAATAATACTCCTGTCAAAACATCAGAAGTGAAAAGCGTGAACAAGTGGCATTTCTTATCTTTTTATGATTCAGTAGTTATCTCTGAGTTGTCTGTTGTTAACAAAATAATTTAAAATTCTTATCTGAACCACTTAGATTTAAATTAGCATTTCATACAGGACTTTTTTCAGAAATGATTCACTGTTGGATGTTGTAGTTCCTATTTGCCCAAGTTCTTATTTCAACTGTTTCTTCCACACTAGACAGACAGAAGTTGTTGTATCAGTATGTTGCTCCTTATTATTGTTGAATAGTATTGCTTTGTATACACAGACAAGTTTATTCATTATTCTTCTATTGATGTACACCTAGGCTGTTTCCAGTTTGGGGCTGTTATGAATAAAACTGCTCTGTACATTCTTGTACAAGTCTTTTTGTGGAGTTAGGTTTTCATTTCTGTTAGGCCAATACCTAGTATTGGAACTGCAGAGCCATAGGGTCTGAGTATGTTTAGTTTTATAAGAACCTGCCAGATCCTTTTCTGAAATAGATATATCATTTTATACTCCCACCAACAAGGTACTTGTACTCTGATTGTTCCACAAACTTGCCAATATTTATTAGTCTTTTTAATTTTAGCCATTCTGGTAGCAGCACAGAATTTTATTTTATGGATGTACTATAATTTATTTAACCAAGCCCCTAAAGTTGACATTATTTCCCTGTTTTCTATTTTAAATAACAGTAAAAAATACCCTTGCATAATAACTCTCACTGTACATCATTCATTTTTTCATTAAGCTAAATTAATCAGATGTTACAAATATTACAAGCTTTTTCCGTTCTATATTTCTTGCTAAGATTACTTTAATATTTTCTGGTTTTACTTGCTAGTTTGAATGGGATCCTTTCCATTGTGTTTAAAATTGGAAATGGATGGTTTAGAGGAAAACTATGCTTTTTATATGTACTTTATCACTGCCCACTTTACAAATCCTCCTACTACTTCTAATAGTCTTTCAGGTCTCTTCTCTGCAAAACAAAAAATAAACAAAAACCTCTTTTTGTCTCCTTTTCAATATATATAACTCAAACTCTTCAGGTTTCCTTATTTTAATTCACTGGCTAGAACATACAGAACAATGGCTTAAAAGAAAAGTGATTTTCTTGCACCTGACTTGAATGGGAGTTTAATTTTGATCCTTGAAAATAAAGTAACTGAATATTTTGCCTCTAGTGTCAAACTTTATAGAAATATTCTTTAAATGAAATAAATCTTATTTAAACATAGCAAGGAACCTAAGCATTCCTAGAATGACTTGTTGGGTGTCCTTCTGTACTTTCTCAATTGCACAACCATCCACCCAATGTGCCTAAGCTAGAAACACTGAAGAAATTCTTACCTCCTTCTTTCTCATCCCCAACATCTAATTGGTTTCTCAAGTTCTTTAGATAGGTCTTAAGTTTGTATTCTCCTTGCTATTTTCACTGTCTTCAAAGTATTTTAGTCCTTCAACATGTCTTGCTTGAAATATTTCAACTCAGTTTATCAAAAGACAATGAGATTTCTTTTAATAGCACAAACCCAAACATATAATTTCATGCTTTAAAAATAAACGTTTTTGGGCCGGCCCGGTTAAGTGCTCGCACTCCATTACTGGCGGCCCGGGTTCGGATCCCGAGCGCGCACTGACGCACCGCTTCTCCGGCCATGCTGAGGCTGCGTCCCACATAAAGCAACTAGAATGATGTGCAACTATGACATACAACTGCCTGCTGGGGCTGTGGGGGAAAAAAAAAGGAGGAGGATTGGCAATAGATGTTAGCTCAGAGCCAGTCTTCCTCAGCAAAAAAGAGGAGGATTAGCACAGATGTTAGCTCAGGGCTGATCTTCCTCACAAAAAAAAATTAAAATAAAATAAAAATAAAAAATAAACGTTTTTTACTGCCTCAAAAATAAAGATCAATTTTCCTGCCATGTCAACAATGATCTTCATGACTTCATGATTTGCTCACATTATAGTACAATATACTTACTACTCTTATTCAGAAACAAAAATGCTATTTCCTCTTCCTAGAATCTGTACCTCTGTATCTCGTTCCTCCCCAGATATTCCCTTTTTTGCCAGGTAAACTCCTATTCACTCTTTCAAACGTAGTTCAGATGTCTTCTTTGAAATTCTCTCAAATAGTTCCTAGAATTTATTTGCTCCATCCACTGAGCAACGTTATCCGTATTCTAACACTATTTATATTCTACTAACATCATGTGTTTCTTTCTTTCTCCTCTATTAGAGTACAGTTGTCCTTCGGTATCTGCAGGGGATTGGTTCCAGGATCCCCGCAGATACTAAAATCCGAGGATGCTCAAGTCCTTTACACAAAATGGCGTAATATTAGCATATAAACTATACACATCCTCCCATATATTTTAAATCATCTCCAGATTCCTTACAATATCTAATACAATTTAAATGCTATTATATAGTTGTATTGTATTGTTTGGGGAATAATGACAAGAAAAAAAGTCTGCATATCTTCAGTACAGACACAACCATCAGGGGTCTCTCCATCCAGTTGGCTGGATCTGTGGATGCAGACCTGTGGATACGGAGGGCCGATTGTGTATGTATGCTTCTTAAGGGCAGAAATAGTTGTCTTTCAGTCTTTTGTATCTTTAACCCCTGAGTGAAAAACTGTCAGTAAAGTATTTTGAAAGTTTGTGTAAAATAAAGATTAAGTTTACAAGCCAATCAAAATAGAATGTTTCTGTTGTTCACTGACAAGGTTGTTTCTTAAAGATTAAGGTAAAATCAAGTCCTTTCCTATTTCCATTTATGGAAAATCAATGTAAAGTAATGTTTTTCTTTAAGAATGGGAAACATTTTGCCAAAGGAATCACTAAGGTCTTGAAAATTTATTGTAAGGTATATTATCAGTAACATTTATTTCTTATCTTTGTAAAAATGGTAGATGTGCACATGACCTCAGAAACTGCTAATACCTTTAAGCAAGAGAATCCTTTGAAATTTTATTCACACTAGTCAATTAAAATTCTATAAAAATGTACACATAATTAACATGTTACAAATAGGAACACATTTCACCTAATAGTTTCTGAGCAAGTACAACGTAACTAGTGACCAGGGAACAGTAATGTGACCAGTAGTATAAATACACATTTATAACACAGCGACCAAAATAATTTTGATTAAAATATCTAGTAACTAATAATAGGATGTTAAAAGCTGTAAAACTGATTAATCATCAAATAACTTTTTTTTTTCCCCAATAGAAGACAAATTATTTGAGTACGTGATACTTTGTTTTTTGAGGTTTTTGGACATACTTTCTCTTTGGCTCCATATCTCAATTTATATCATTTTATTACAGTCACTCTTCACACTCACATAAGATAAGCTACATCGACAACACGCAGAAGAGTAAAGTGTAAATAAAAAACTTACTCAATTCCATGATAATGACATACTGAGGCTTTTTCAAAAGGTAAAACCCGAAGTTTCCGAGGACTAAGTTCTGGTGTCAGAACAAAAGTCTTTTCCCTGAAAACAAAAAGGTTTTCGTTTGTATTTAAAGTTTATTTACTGACAAAGAGAAAGTTCAAGAGAGTATGTAAAGAAGGAAATCCTGACTTCCTCCTCTATAATTGAATCTTATATGGGATACAAATCAGATGACATCAGAAACCCTAAGAAGGAAATCGAGCAGGGTTAGGCCTGTGGGTTTGTCACTTACATTTTCTGTGCCTCCAGTTTCTGAAGCTATGATGTTACTTATTTCACAATACTATTCAGAGAAATGGATAAATCAAGAATGGAAAACGATTTGTAGTGGAAATTCAAGAAGCAGCCTTATTCTTCAAGGATTTTTTTTTTTTTTTTTTTGGTGTAGTGAACTAATGTTTATGCATTTAGTTAAATTCTTTTTCGCAGGGGAATAATTAAAGTCAACACAAATCTTTGGTAATAAAAGAAGTATTTACTTCCTACTATAACACACGGAGGACCCAGATCTTTCTTTACTGGGTAATGTAGTCACCTTGACACTGACTTTAAGAGTCAGCAACCTTTTAAATATTAGAGGGTATAGACACTAACTACTAACTTCAGTTCTTCTGTGGTAGGTTTTCAATCAGCAGGTATGTTAGAACTAATCATATGGTGAGCTTACATAAAATATTCATGCCCAGACCTGCAGGGGTATGTCAAAATTTCAGGAAGAAGAAGGTCACAGCAATTAGGTTAAGCTCTCCTGGTTATTCTAATAGGTGCCCTCCTTCTCTCCCTGCATTGGGAGGCACTGTTCTAACATACTGGATTCTGTTCCTGAAGCTCCGAATAAGTTAGATGGGAAGGTGAGAATTATGCAACAGTGGTCTTTCACAATTAACAGGCAGAATGAAATACCAGAGACTTGAATTCAGAGGACTCAGAAAACGTATATAGAAAGGCAAGCAGATAGTAGAGTACCAAGAATAAATTTGCTATCACATTTTTTCCCCTATGGCATTAGTAATGAAAACTGCCCATTTGCCACTGAAATTATCTAGGGTACTATGATAAGCATTTGAAATTATGACATTAAAATGTAATATATGCTAAACAGTGAATCCTAAAAAAAAGAATTTATATTCTAATGCATCCACTTAAAGTGTTCCATAAAAACTAACACTAATAAATTGCAATGACCCCAGTACTTTGATGACTGACTATTAAAGTGAGTAATTTTATAACACAGAACTCTTAGGTACCTAGCATTTCACTTCTTTCCTTTACCATGTTGTCTTCCATTTCTTATTTCAAGCCCTCTCAGCAACCTTATCTATTTTTAATTTTACTTACACTTTGTTCTTTCTAAAAGAAATATTTTAATAAACATGTGTTTTGTCAATATTTAATATTTCTTTGGTATATGCATAATAGTCATGCCTACACTTTGCTTAATTTAATACAGCATTTCAGATGGCTCCTTGCATAGGCAGATACTGAATAAGAGTCCACAGGTTCTTGATTCATTGCCATTCTTTAACTTTAATGTTAATAGAAGATATATTTGATAATGATGCAGTTCTTTACTAACTTCAAGGAATTATATCAAACTTTCCTAAATATTTCACCTGTAAACTACAAAAAGAATTAAATACATCTCCTCTATAACATTGCATCTAGAAAGATGTTCTGGTCAAAAAGAGTACAACCTACATAAAATTCAGTTTTGGTAAATTCATCTGACTCTGCCAGTTCATGCTAAATGATTTGGAAGGATAATAATCCAAAACGAAACACATGAAAATGTGTGTATACTTCTTCACTTTCTTGATTCCCACAAAAAAGGGTATCAATCTCTCAAAGCTGAGAAGAGGAAAATTATTCCAAAATTACACAATTTTTGGTGTCATTAAGATCATCAAGTCACTAAGACCCAGAGTTATTAAGATCCTCAAGTTCTCAAAGTTGCTCCCTATCTCTCTCTCTCTAGTGAACTCGCACATGAAGGCAAAATGCTCTATCATTATTTTTGAGATATAACTACCTTCAAATAAATCCTTCCCAAAATTTACCTTTAAAATCAATATTTGCCAAAACAAGCTTTGTAAAAGTGATCAAAATGATCTACAGTTTTTAAGGTCCTTTGGAAGGTTTTCAAAATAATGTATTAACGATTGAAAAGAAATTAGGGTAGTGAGTAATTATTCAAATCTCACAGGTATTTGATGCCACAATTTTTGTGTGTGTGTGAAGAAGATCAGCTCTGAGCTAAGATCCATGCCAATCCTCCTCTTGTTTTGCTGAGGAAGATTGGCCCTGAGCTAACACCCGTGCTGATATTCCTCCACTTTATGTGGGACGCCGCCACAGCATGGCCTGACAAGCGGTACATCGGTGTGCACCCGGGATCCAGGCCCGGGCCGCCAGCAGCGGAGCGCTGGTGCTTAACCGCTGGGCCATGGGGCCGGCCCCTTTGATGTCACAATTTTACCTATAATTAAGTCAACTTCAGCAACATCCAGTATTTATGAACTAGTAACAGTGGAAGTTGTCTTGTAAGTCAAATTAGTTGTAAATTATTCATGTAGACACTGAGTTCGAACTTGGTAATGTTATAGTTTCGAAAGCATTTTTATTTTACTTTCCCTTTCTCTTCAGGTGAGAGGCTGAGCTTTCTGCTGCTATTAGGCATGACCAACGATGTCACGACCAGAAGTGGCAAAATCAAAACTAGACAGTAACACAGAAAAGAGAATTAAAAAAATTTGCAAGTCAAATTATAATTTTTTCTTAAAAAGTATTGTCCTTTATATACAAAGTAAAAGCTACTGACTTCTATAGGGAATATACTGAGGTTGCTTTTATTATCCTGATTTCCTTTATATTCAATACCACAAAACAGCAGCACACTTGGCTAAGGTAAAACGTGAAGATTAAGGCCAAATGATAAACATTGGGATTAAACTTGTGAATTCTGCCTAAGCAGCATAGGGCTTCAATTAACTGTGGAAATGAGATGCAATGTGTTTTAAAAATGATTTTTAAAAAATTAATTGGAAATTATAAGTTGATAACATACCCCTTTTGAATCTGTAAAGGTTGAAGATCTCCAACTGGTAATCCATCTGAGGTAAAGAATTTCAGCAATTCTTTAGCATCCAATAATGTGATGGAATCCCGTGGACCGTCTTTATGGCCCAGCAACTGTTCAGATGAAGGAGGTAATGAACTAGTTCTGGGAAAACAATGTTATGTAGATTTATTAAAAGTGGATTAGAATTTACCATAGTCAGGAAAAGCTGATAGGAGCAGAACCAGAAAAATACACAAAGAAAATTGAAATACACATTTAGGAAAGAAAATAAAGTAAAATCTTTGCAAATCATTTAGTATCAAAGTATATTTTTAAAAATCTGTAGGTCAGAGTGAAACCTGCAGTTACCATGTCAACAATGCTACTACTTAACTAAGATAAACATAATTATATTCTTTATAAATGATGGCATGATTAATTATTTAGTAGTGTGAAGTTATCAATTCTATAAAATTTAAATCTAAACTCTGGTATGTTCTGAAACCCCATGATACTGTAAATTTTGAGGGCAGAGATTGAATGTTCCAATTTTCTACGAACTTGAAAGATTAGCTGAAGCACAACCATGAAATGAGACAGTAATCAGAAATCTCCCCAAAGTCTCTTCGAGCCATGATTACGACATTATGAATAAGCACGGAATCATTATTACACCTGAAATATATGCAGGATTTTATACTTTTCAAACTACTTTACATACAATATATTCTTAATCCTCACAAATTTCCTTGAAAAAGACAGAATAGGTCTTATCTCAAAACGACATTAACATCTGAAAGTAAGTACTTTGTAAAGTGAAAATCAGCATACCAAACCTAAAAAACAATCATTATTCCTATTTTTCAGATAAAGATTCTAACACACAATAGTTTGTATTACAGATCCAGGGTGAGACAACTGTTTAAAATGAGAAAGTCAGAACTAGACTGACTCTGAATTAGATACTATTTCTACCTATCATTCTATAAACCCAAAAAGCTCACTGAAAGTTTTAGAAACTGGAAAATAGTTCCAGAGAATACTAAAGGTTTCATCAAGCACTGAGTCACAGCTATTCCTCTTTCAGCAAAGCATAAATAAAGTCTTCCAATACCTGCACAGAAAATTCATTTCCTGACTTAATATTAATTTAACTATTTCCTGATTATTTTATTACTCAAATCAAGCATTTTTACCAGAAATTATATGATTAAAATATTGACATTACAGTTTTAGACTTATTTTATTTCTATACATTAAAGATCAATAACATACCGAAAGTGCCCCTTTCCCCTTCCTATTTCCTTTACCTTTAAATTGAAATTATAAATCTAATAAAAATAGTCAAACAAGAAATACTCAAATATTTTGTCTGAACTTTATACTCCAGGAGGGCAGGAACTACATGATGAGTTTAATTTAATTTCTATATAGCTCTTCTCTAATAGTGACTCACAAAGGTTTCTTAATGAATATTACTCTCAGTCATTTTACAGGCTAGATGCAATGGGGAAAAGTATAATCTGCATCTATATAGAACCCTGGACACAGGATATCAAAGCAACTTAAAAGCCCGATTTATGATAAAATATAGTACCAAGATATGTCTTAGGTTAAAAAATAAAATAACACTTTATTTTGTTCAGTGTATTAAATCTTACAGAGTATTTTTTCATACATTATCTCATTAAATTTTCACAACTTTGTAGTAGAAATGGGATTGTTATCCTCATCTTAAAGATGAGACAACAAAGTCACACAACAGGTGACTGACTTTCTCTAAAACTAAACTCTTATGACTCCTGAATTTCACTATGTAATGGTCCCTTATTCTCCAGTGAAATCTGTTTAACAAAACAATTTCTGAAAATATGCAACATAACTTTTGTCCCCAACCAAGAAATCGATGGTATTTCCCCATATTTTGAGATGTCCACAAGTATTTACTGAGCATTTACTTTGTAAATATCAATGTGAGGTACTGAAAAGAGTTCACTGATGATAATTTATAGACTCATAATCACTGCTCATAATTTAGTGTGTAGGTGTGACTTGAAGTAGGAGAAAGGAGGTGAGAAGAATAAAAGGAGATAAATAAACCAGCATAGAATGAGGTAGAAAAGGTACAATAAAATAAGTTTCATGAAAAAAGAAATAACGTAGCCCTTGGGTGTTTAAAGAAGGAAGATAAAATTGAGCTGTAGCATTTATAAAAGGCTTAAGGAAAAGGTGATATTTGACCTAGACTTAAATGACAAACAAGCTTCTTGTTCAAGATGGTGAACTAAAGATACATATTAACCTCTGCACTCAAACAAACTGAAATCACCGTGTCGAAGTACTGGACATTAAATTCAAAAGAGGGCTGAAAAAAGGAAGAAGGAAAACGATGGACCAAAGAGTTCAATGAATTGCAAAAAGGGATAAACTAGGGCAAGCGCCTCAATGAGAATTAGGGAGAAACCTACAAGGAAGGTAGAATCTGCCTTCTTACCACCCCACAAAGCCACAGAGAGACTCTAAACGGGCTCAGAGAGTGGCAATAGGCAGAAATCGGGAAATATATTTTAAGAACCCTACCAGAAAGTTAAGTACCACCCTCCCACACCTCACTAACCCTCAGGCTTTTATCTCCACGTTAAAAACAGAATCTGCTCTCTGAAGATCTAGAACTATATGCCTGTCCCAGTGTCAGTGATGATGCCCCCAGAAGAAACCACCCTTATTTTAGGGTTGGGTGAAGTTGACCAAGGCTGCCTACATTCCGATATCCCCAGATGGCCTAAAGTGCAGCCTGCCAGGCGTGCTCTACCTGCATCTCCCCCGCCCAACAGTAATTGAGGTGAGAGCAGGTGGGGAACAGGACTGCACATATAGAGAGAAAACATGTGCTAACTATCTGTATAAAGAAGCTTAGTACTAAATTCTTAGCTATGAACAATCAAGGGCCACTGGACACAGGAGAAAAATGACACCTAAGAGAAAAATATCAGAGGAGCAAACAAAACAGATCCAAAGGATAATGAGATCATTCAAGGAACATATAAAACAAGTTAAAAGAAAATTCCATTTAATAACCTTACAGTATCTTCTCAATTCTCATTACTAATATAAGAAGAACAGGTTGCTGTGAAAAAAATAGGGTAGACAACAAAAAAGAATTATTAGGAATTTAAAATATGACTACAAAAAAATTTAACAGAACAGACGAAAGCAAAGGTCAAGGACATATCCCAGAACAGAGCAGAAAAGACAAAGAGATGGATTCTCGAGAGAAAATTCACATTTGAATGAAAAATCAATCCAGGATGTTTAACATTAGTTAAAACAGATATTGCAGAAAGAGAAGAAAGAAAAAAAAGAAAATGGAAGGAAGAATATCATCAAAAAAAACAATAGAAGAATATTTCCTAGAGCCAAAAAAAAAGACAAAAGTCTTGAGACCAAAACATCTCACACTATGATAGCCTCATGTAATTTCAGAACATTAAGGAAAACAGAAAATTCTAAAAGTTCCAGAGACCGCATAAAATAACTATTAAGGAACAAAAATCAATATGGCAACAGCCTTCTTATTAAGGTGTAAGATCCAAGACACTACAGACCTAACCTAGAAATGTGATCAAAAGAAATACCAGGAAAACAGCTGTGCAGGCAGAAAGGGTCAGTCCAAATTACAGCAGGGAGTCGAGAGGTGCAAGAAAAATGACTTCAAGAAGAAAACAATTGTCTATTGCAAATAACACAAGGTTCAGAGGTAGAAGAAGGATAAAAAGTGAAGAGAAATAGGGGTGTTAATTTCCTCATCTTTCACAATGGGAAGTTAAAGGATATCATCTAAAATTGATGGGTAAGAAACTGAAGTTCTTTTGTGGGTAACCTGTCCTTTTCTCAACCTTCTTTCTAGATTGTCTTCTTCCTCCTGAACTATAAATGTTAGAGATCCTCAGGGAATGGTCTTAAGCCCTCTTTTTTTTCTCTACATGGTCTCACCAAGTGACCTCATCTACTAGCATGTATTTAAAACTCCCTCCCTTTTTGTTTTTTTGGCGAGAAAGACTAGCCCTGAGCTAACATCTGTTGCTAATCCTCCTCTTTTTGCTGAGGAAGATTGGCCCTGGGCTAACATCTGTGCCCATCTTCCTCTACTTTATATGTGGGACACCTGCCACAGCATGGCTTGATAAGCGACGCATAGGTCCGCACCCAGGATCCGAACCTGCGAACCCTGAACTGCCGCAGCGGAGCACAGGAACTCAACCACTATGCCACTGGGCCAGCCCCAAAACCCCCTTTTGATGATAACTCCAAATTGACTTTCAGATTTCTCCCCCAGTCCACTTGATATGTCCACTTGCATAACCCATAGATCAAACTTAAATTCCTAAAGCAGAATGCTTGATTTTTCTCCCCAAATCTATTCATACCCCAACTTCTCACCAGTCTTCCCCATCCCTTAAGTGAGAATACCATTCACCTTGTTGTTCAAGCCAGAAATCTAAATTATCTTGAATGCCTGTTTCCCTCTCCTCCACATCCAATCCATCACAGAAAGTTTTTTCCAGTTTACCAAAAAAACATATCCCAAATTTGTTCTCTACTACTACTCTAGTCAGAAATCAAAGCTCTCTCTCACTTAGTCTACAGAAAAGACCACCTAACTCATCTCTCTTTTCCTAATATCTTCCTCTTGCAATCTATTTGCCACAAAAGAGCAAAAGTAACTTTGCAAAATCAGATCACATCACTCTTTTGTATACAATCCTTCAAAAGCTTACCAATGCATTAACAATTAAATCCAAAACCGGTATGATGAACTATAAGGTCCTGTATAACTAAAGGTGCTTCACTCATGTATCCACTAGGTCTCAGCTCAAATGTAACCTCCTTAGAGAGGCATCCCTGACCATCCACCTCAGCTAAGTTACCACCACTTCCGTCCCCTCAACAACTAAAATTATTCTCCCTCAGTCCCTTTGTTTGTTTCATTCATTTATACATAGAGTAACCTATAATTATTACACTTACTTGCCTGTTGATATCTCTCCCCATAAAAGGTAAGCTATAAGAGGAGAGCCTGACACATAGTTGGTGCTCAATAAATATTTGTTGCTATACAAACAAAATATTATAGTAAATCATAAATGTTACAATAGAAGAGCTAAAAATTAAAGTGTGATTTGCAATGTTTGGGAGGAGGGCAATGTAAGAGAGCTAAATTCCTCCTCTTTTGTTCCATCATTCTACAATTACGACCGAGTGCATACTATGTACTGAATCAAAAAAACAAAAACAAAACAAACAAAAATGAACTCTGCCCCTTAAAGTTAATTAATAAATACTATATAAACAGATAAGAATGTAAGAGTGGAACAGTTTAAAGTGGCTCCAAGGAGAAGAGTCCTTTTACTTCATTTTACACACTCCTGTATTGTTTAAATTTTCCTTATGTATTCACATACTTGTGTATATCTATAGAAGAGGGTCTCAAAAGCCATCCACTAAAATGTTAACTGTGATTATGTACACCTGGAAAGTACAAGTACAAGAGGAAGAAGAGCATTTCCTCAACATGCTGCTCTATAACGCTCTATCTACCTATCTACTTACAGCAAGCATACATTTCTTTTATAATAAAACTATAACCTACTAATATCTCATAAATACAATGTAAGGATTAAGGAAAAAAAAGTTCATTTACAATTACTGAGCTATTTAAATATTACCTCATTTTTTGTTTGGCTTTTTCAAAAGTTTCCAAATTTTGAAGGACATGCCTTTCTGGCCATTCCAGAGGATTGGTTTCCAGTAGACTTGAAGAAATAGCTTCTACTGGACTGGTGTCTAAAGAGAAAGAAATACACATAAGTATTGAAAAGTATTAACATACTGAATATTGCTATATACAAATATACACACGTAGATAGATACACACATCTATGTGTGTGCGTGCAAATATATGTATAAAGGCATGTGGGACTAAATGTACAATAACTTACCTCAGGCATTTATTAAGGTTATCTCTGATGGCCTGGATTGTGCCAAGTGCCATAGAAAAGTTTTTTGGAAATGAAAAAAAAAAATCCACGTTAAACTTTACCTATTTTACTATCTCCTCATAATAAAAGTCATGAGTGAGAATTTTGAAAATGAATTAGCACTGTGAGGACTCATGCGGAATAAAAGCATAACTTTGCTACTTTTTGTGAAATTAGTTCTAAACGAAAAGGAGGCAACTCTGTGGAAAATATATCGGATATACTGTGATTTTTCATACTACAAACAGAAATTAGCACCAGTATCCAGAAAAATTCCTACCTTTAACAGAGATTACCTCATTATCAAAAGTACAATAATACAATAAATTAACTTCTGATGTTCTCGGGTAAAGGTTACTTTAGAAATAATTACATTATGTATTAATGTAAGATGCCTTAACATATACATCTTCAAGTAAATCACTAACATTAAATGTAATTTTATTATTAATAAAACATTATATGTAAGGGTATGGCTTTCTTTCTAGCTAGTATGCTGCAATGAACTAACATTGAGATTGTGAATAACACTGTGATTCTCATGGAAAACATAAAGGGATAGCTTCCATTCTCATTATAAATTATGAGTACATCCAAACTGTTTTAATACAGGCAAAATTACTAACTATACAACTTTTTGGATTCCAAAACTATCTGGTTTTTAAAATAGTTTTGAACTATTACACATTGTTCTAATAAACTGATTGAAAATTATTATAAGTTAGCAGTTTGACTAACCATCAACCCTGACAAAAACACCCATTTTATACTTTGGGGTCTTATAAAATGGTAACGATTTGATACAGGGATTTTTAAACAACAACAAAAAAATTTAAACATAAATGAAAACAGAAGCCAACTGCATGTTATTTTCTCTTTACCTTAATTAGACTATTTAGCCTTGAATATTTCAAAATATTTTTAATGCCTACAATGGACTTCCCCCCACCAAACACCATCCAAATATACCACTTCCCATTTCTTAATAAGGGTGGTAGAATACCAACTATTTTATAGCATAATGAGCTTTATAATGAAATAACCTGCTTTGTAAGTTTGACATGACTTTCCATTAAAAGTATAAAGAAAAAAATCATTAGCAGTTCTAACAGTTGCATCATGAGTTCACAAAAGAATACAAGCCATGTTAAATAAAAGTAAACATTAATTGTTCCTAAATATTATAATATAATTAATTATTAACTTTGACTATGCAACCTCCATAAATACAAATGACCTCGGCTAAACTTAAGGAATGGACAGACAAACATTCATATGTGCCACGTCTTTTGGGGAATAATGTAATACTATGTATTATTACTATGTAATAATAATGTAATATTCTGACAGTAAAATAAACATAATATTTATTTATGTGGCAGTCAGAACACTGGGCCATGCTGACAACCAAAAGCACAAAAAGGGCTTCTGAGAAATCAAGAACACTGTTTTTTTTAAAAAAAAAAAAACAACATTTTACTTTACAGGAGAAACAAAGATATATGGAAACCATAGAAACAGGGAAGTAGGGACTCAAAACTACCCTATGAAATCGTAAATCAGGGCAAACAAAAAGAAAATAATATTGCAGATGACAGTATGTGATTAATGAATACAGGCCATTATAGTCTTACATACCTAAATAAGAATAAATCACAAAGAAAAGTTTATATTATAATCGGGATATTCTGTTTAATAAAGCAAGAATTATAAACACATACTAGAAGATTCTTATTAAAATGTTTGAAATAATAAAATTGTGATCTTATAGAATTACCTAGAAAACTCACTTATGTAGTGTGTTTATGTGCCCCAATGGTCAGGGTAAAGGAGATAGTTACTGTATTATGAGTTCAGATACCACACCTGGCATTGTGCAAGTCTTTAGCAACTTTGTGGCAAGGAGTAAATAAAATGGTTAGATCAAGACATTTTCTCCATACTGACTTTCATTTGTTATACATGCTAGAGTTTTTACAAAAAAATAAGCAGATCCAGGGGCCGGCCCGGTGGCGCAAGCGGTTAAGTGCGCGCGCTCCACTGCGGCGGCCCGGGGTTCGCTGGTTCGGATCCAGGGCGTGCACCGACGCACTGCTTGGCAAGCCATGCTGTGGCGGCGTCCCATATAAAGTGGAGGAAGATGGGCACAGATGTTAGCCCAGGGCCGTCTTCCTCAGCAAAAAAGAGGAGGATTGGCAGATGTTAGCACAGGGCTGATCTCCTCACAAAAAAAAAAAAAAAAAAAATAAGCAGATCCATAAACCTAACAATTGCTAATAACTCCTAATGTGCGCGGTTGCAAATAATGGGTCAGAATATGAAACATCATTGACCTTACTACTTTTGCTATGTAACTTGCAGGTAGATGTATTTATTCAAACAAAAGCTACAAAGGATGTTAAAAATCACAGCTGCATTTTTAGGAGTCATGTTCAAATACACAAACTGTTGATTTCAGTTCAGGTTCTGAAAAGCTTCAGGGTTTCTTTCATTTGTTTAACAATTATTTCGGGGGTGACCCACTCCTCTGTGCCAGGTGCTGTGCTAGGCTCTAGATATTGGAGAAAGCAAACGGGCATACTCTTTACCCTCAGAGAACACACGGTTTAGAGAGAAGACAAATAGTTAATAAACAATTACATACATAGCACATAATTTAAACTGTGAGAAATAATTTGAAGAAAAACTGGAAATGAGCACAACAGGAAACAATTTAAATTGAGGAAGGTCTGAGAAAGCCTTTTCCAGAAAGTGACATTTAAATCAAGATCTGAAGAATGACTATCAGTTAATCAGGTAAAGACTGGAAGAAAAGTATCCCAGAAACAGGACATACCTGAGGTAGAAAGGAATGTGACACCTTCAAGGAACGGAAAGACTTGGAGGTAATAAGGAAACAGAAATGTGACACTGGAGGAAGTTAGAATAAGCACAAGGCCTGATATCATTTAGGGTTTTTACAAGCCATATTAAGGACGACATTCTATGTACAATGGGAAGCAAGCAACAAAGTTTGAGCAAAGGAGTGACATAATGTGATTTACATTTTAAGGTGAGCACTCCTGAAGTTAAGCGTGTTAACAGTGTCCTAGAACTTGACTTTGTACTGGTAACTATAAGATACATTTCCTTAAATTTATATAAAAAGCCTTGCAATGATTTCAGCCCTTCCTACGTTTCAACTGTTAGCTCCTATACAGATCCTGAGTAAGCCCACCTCTCTCCTGATCTGTTTGCCCTTTCTTACCTCCATGACTCTGGGTATGCTGCTGCTTCTACCTGGAAAATCCCATCTTCCCCTCTCGACCTAGAGGCTATGCATCACTCAAGACCTACATCAAGCTCCTGAGCTCCTGATAAAGGATTTTGTGATTACTCTAACCTAATTAGATCCCTCTCCTCTAAATTCGTATTTATTTATTTAACCAAAAAATATATAGCACATACTTCGTACCAGGCAACTTTCTAAGCAATTTACCAATAATTCATTTAATTCTCCTAACAATCTACATCATCACTAATTTAAAGATTAAAAAACTGAGGCTCAGAGAGGTTAGAAAACTTGCCCAACGTTACACAGCAAGCAAGCTGCAGAGCTGGATTCATCTTGTTAGTCTTGCTCCAGAGCCCAGGCTGTACCAAGAAGCTACTCTCCCTCACTTATCGAATACATCCCCCGTACAAGGTTTACAAGTAACCTTGTACTGTTTCTAACATCTTTCAGATTATTTTGCACTGCTATTTAACTTTGATACTAATATGTAACAATGATGATTATAATACAAACGAGAGCTAATAATTTTGGGGCATTTATTATGTTCTAAGTGTTTTATATGCATCAACTCATTTAATCCTCATAATAACTCTAGTAACTGGGCATTATTATCCCCATTTTAAACATGAGGAAACAGAGGCATGGAACTTGCCCAAAGACATTCAGCTACCAAGTGACAAAACTGAGATCTGAACCCTGGCAGTCTAGCTCCGGAGCCCGGGCTTTAGAACATGGCACGATACGCTGTATTTATATTTTGCTTCCCAAATAGATCATAAGCCCACTGAAAGCCAAGGACCAAAATTTTACTTCTTTGTGTACCTTCAAGGTGTCAAACAGAGAAAAGGCACTCAACAAACATTACTGTTCACCTTATTCTTTGGTCATTTTCTTATCAATCTATAGAATAAAAACGATTCTCACAGAATAACAACAAAAAATTATCCTGTATATTTAAAATGCCAGGCAATCATCAAATGCTTTCTTGTTAGATCTTGAAGAGCTTCACACTACTCAAATTCATCACAAAAAACAGAAACCAGGAAAACAGAAAGAAATGCAAGTTAATACAGAAATGATTTCCCGCTCCTTCAGTGAAGTTTGGTGACTTCTATATAATGAATGGCAAACGTGGAGCATCTTATTATATGTAGTTTTAACTATATTAAATTTATTTTGTAGGTTCTACTTTTCTCACCTTATGAAAACACAGCTTAATAGAAATCTACCCATTCTAGCAGATTAGTAAAAGCAGTAAGAGGGATTACCTTAAAATGCTTCTCCCTCAGCTTAAAAACAATTATACTAAATATGCTTAATTAAAGAAGCTATCAGAAAGTTTTTAATACTTAAATGATGAGAAATACAGATCATCACATATAAATACATACGTGTATACGCAAATATATATATATCACTATTTAAATTTATAAGCTACAGTTTGATTAGATCAATACATTCTATTGGTTTTAATAATAAAGAACTGTCATAAATGCCACAAAGAACTAAAAATTAACAAAAGACTTACCATTTAACACATTCGAGGTTTTAATTTTGTCTGTCTTTATTACAACCGGTTTAGTAGTAATAGCATCAAAATGATCTAAAAAGCGTTCCCTTGCAAGTAGTAATAAACCTTTGAGTTCATCAACAGAAACTACTTCAGGCTGCTTTGCCAACTTTTTCCTTTCTGTAAGACAAAAAATTAATATGATTAACCATACTGTTATTTCAAAGCCTCTCTAGAGGGTATCTACTATACTTTTATGGGAAATATTTTCAAAAGGAAAACAAGTGAATTTCTCCAAAATCATCATTCCTGTGTAGACCTGGTTTCATTTTCATTCCATTTGTAGGTAAGAGTAGAATTTCCAGTTACGTGAGATAAACAGAAATAGAGTAATTTGTTAACACCAAAAGCGATAAATGGTAAAGGCAAGTTTACAAAAGTTTTCTGAAATATATTGTGGAGCATTAAGAATGACCTTATGTTGGTGTTTCTGTGACAATAAAACCTGTAAGACTGTCAGTTAAATATAGTAGCTTGGTCACTTCCACTTATTTCTTCTTCTTTCCCAAAACCAAAATCACAGCCAAGGAATAAGAAAGGACAACAAAAGAAGAAACAATAAATAACGAGTTTTCAACAAATTGTGGAAGATAAGATGGTGGCGGAGTGGTAACTGAGCTGGCAGAGCAGAGGGTCAACCTGGGTGCCTGCAGAGGCACTAGCTGTGAGGTATTAGGAAGACGGTGGCGAGGTCCTGGGCTAAACCGGGACAGGATGCAAGGATATGGATGTTTAGGGAGACAACAGTGAGAACTAAAGGTCCCCCCCAACCTCCAGCCCTCATAGGCTCTCCTTTCATTTTTTTTGGCAGAAACTGAAAGGAGGGAGTCTCAGACTATGGAATATCAGGTACACTGAAAGGTAGTATTGATGCTGGGGTTAAAACTAAGAGATTAAATAAGAGTCTACATACTAAAAGGTTGGACTCCCAGCCCTGTAGCCAGAACGTTAGCAGCTACAAATGTCCCACTGCAAAGATTAAAGGATTCTCCTTTTGAAAAACTGAATGCCCCCAGAGAAAAGAGCTTGATACTGATATTGAAGTGGAGACAGGGATAGGAGCTGACAACCAAAATGCTGAATTGTCACTTCACCACTCTACAACGCAGATTGCCAGATATATTAGAGAGAGGCATATAAAACTTCCAATTTAAAACAGGACAGACAGCAAAGAATCACCAGACATTTAAGGAAAGGTGTTGAGGGGAGAGGGGACTCTGCATTTCCATGGTCTTATGTTTACACGTGTAAGGACTTTGACTCAGTAACACTTCCAGCTCCCCTCTCACTCTTACCACTCACTGAGCCAATCTAGAGAAGAAACTAGGCATGGTCTGATCAGACCCCTCCTCTCCAACTTTCCTCTGAGTTAGCAGGTCTTCAGGATACATGCCCTCTGTAATGTGGAAAGGGCCCTTTGCCCTTAGGGTTGATCTGCAGTTGCATAGCTCTGATAGTCATTCAGGGGGTGAAATCTATTCTGGGTGTATTTTCAGAAAACTCACCTGGACATAGATCTAAAAAGTCATATCCTCCAATCTAGCTTTTATCTGTAATTTAAATTCCATCTGTGTATTTCTTAGGTTTATTTCTCAATTAGTTCCAACTTGGGGAGGGGAAAGGAGTACAATATTAGTGCTCTTAATCTAAAAAAAGTTCAAGATGAACAAGAGAGACTAAAGCAAACAAAGACAAAAAGGAGCCCAGCAGAAACAAAAACATTGCAGGGAACAAAGGAAAGCTTGCTATAATGAATATTCTCACAGAAATAAGAGAAGATACTACACCCACGAAACAAGTACAGGATGCTTTGATAAAGGAATAATCAATGAACAAGAAAAGCCTTCTGAAAGTTAAGCACAAGAGCTCAAATTTTTAAAACTCGACATAAGGGCTTACAATAAATGCAAGATAGCCCCCAGAAACTAGAACAAAAAGATAACAATATAGAAATAGGAAAGAAAATTACACAATCTGTCCACAAAAGCCATAATATAATAAGAGTTCTAGAAAGAAAGAAAAGAGAAAATGGGAGAAAGGAAATTAGTAAAGAGATAAGAAAAATGTTCAGACGGAAGGATGTGAATCTTCTCTGGCAATGGTCCATCAAGTACACAGCTCAATAAACTGGGGGGAGGGGGGTTGGGAGAGGAAGGGAAATATTCACACTGTGATTCAGAGTAAAGCTTCCAGAGATAAAGCTTCTGGAGATAAAGGTTCCAGAGAGAGGGTAAAAACAAATCAAAAATAGATCACTGCAAAGGGTAAGAACAGTCTTCGATTTATCAACAGGAGCACAGCAATGGAGAAGACAATGGAACAATGTCTTCAAAATTCTGAGGATAAATGATTTTCAACCTAGAGTTCCATATGAATTATTAACCAAGTAAAGATATTTTCAGACATGCAAGAGCTTGAAAAATTTATGCCCCATGTACTCAAGAAACTACTGGAAGATACGCTCCAACCAAACAAGGGCGTAATCCAAGAAAAGAGAGGTCAAGGGGTCTAGACAAAAGGATATTCTAAAAGAAGAGAAGAAGGAAAAAAAGTTTCTAAGATGTCAGCAGGTCTAAGAAGCAACTCATCCATTATAGAGCAAAATATGAAACACTCTGGAAAAAACATTAAGAGAAATAAAAGGGACTGCTGTGTCTGAACACACGATGAATTTAATGATAGGGGTGTGTGTGGCAGGAATGTTGGAGCCTTTGGAAAATCATGACAATATTTTGTGATAAAGAAGAGTTGGTAAATTTAAAATAAGTGATTATCAACCGTAAGAAAAACAAAGCTTATACAGGAAAGGGGATCTATTATGTGAGACTCAGCAGTAAACTTATTTACTTAGTTATAATAATGTTAAAACTACGATTGAATACCAAACTTCATGACTTCCCTGTACAGGGTGGAAAGGGAAAGTAAAGACGATGTGGGAAAGCTAAGTCATTATCTTCTGTAGTTAGATGTTAAGATAATGTCTGAAACTGGTAAATCAAGAAATAGCAGCAGACATATACCATTTAGAAAACTGGAGAAAATGTCAGGAAAACCAGCTGGGAGAGCTGAGGATAGCTGCCTATGGACAGAGCATGAAAGACAGGGAGGAGAGGGTCGGGTACTGCTGTTTTCCATTTTAAGTTTTTGACTACCATTTCAATCTTTAAAGTATACCCATGTATTACTTTTATAAAAATATTTCATTTTTAAAATACTTCTGGCCCAATAACATTTTCTTCCATAATAAAATAGTAAACTCTAGATTCATAGAGAATTCAATTCAACAAACATTTATTGAGTATGCGCTGCCTGCAAAGCACTGTGCTGTGCCCTTAGACACAGAGGATTAAAGCACTTTATATGACACCATGTGAGGTTGGTGCATAAATAATGCGAGGAGGCTGAGAAGGAAGTAGCCAGCCTCCAGCTTCGACTTCAGAACGTCAGCTTTATGATACATGCCTCTGTAAAATCCCAGCACACCAACATGGATATTGGTAGGATCGTTCCAGGTCTGGTCCAAGATAAGTGACGCACGGTTTCTGCAGTCAAGAACATTAGTAACGCTAAAGTAAGAGCTGTGACATATGCTGCTTTATTACATCTTCTTCGGGAGAAGAAGTTTTCCAGTCTGCTGGAAGCCATTCTAAAATGAAACGTTATCAATGGTTTGTTTTCATCCGAAAGATGCACAATAAGTAATGTGCTTCAGAAATTAGCTACATTTTTATTAACATTAAAAATATACTTAAATCATAAACCCAACCTACGCTTATTAAAATTGTCAACTATATTACAACATTGGGTAATTTGGAGAGCAGGGTAAGATTTCCTATTGACCTTGACAACTAAGAAACAGAGAGAGAAAATAGAGCAAGTTTAATAGGGTTATGAGCAAGATACTTACTTAGGTGAAAAAAAAATCTACACAAATGAGTGTGCACACAAGTGGTAGATAAAGATTTGAGGGAAAAATATTGGACTAAAGTCTGAAAATGAATCAGCAAAAGAACACTACCCCTAAAAAACCTAGTAATAACTAAGGATTTCTTAAAGAAAAATGTGGAGTAGAATATTTAAAAGTATCAGCAGATTGAGCATCAATCAGGTTTGTACTGAGTTTCATAAATTTAAAAAAGATGAGGGAACTCAGAGTAGTGACCACATACGGGAGCAAAATGACAATACTACTGTTTTGGTATTTGTTTTGCATCATACTGAACAGTCTTTTATTTAAAAACTGTTCAGTATTCTTTAACTTTTTCTTTAAATATTGGTAAAATAAGACATTTAATATTTCCAAATACAAAAAGTTATAAATTACAAAAAAATCAAGTAAAATATAAATTATAAAATTTAAATATCACTCTAATACAATAGTATTAAATATAATTTTAAAAATAAACAAAATAAACAAAAACAAATTATTCTAAAAAATTAAACCCTAACAGAAATTTCATTTGATTTTTATGTTATTTTTAAAAACAAAGTGCCTCAATAATGTGAGTACATTTTCATGCAAATCTTTCCAGTTGCTCTTTCTGATTCAGTGCTCATCACAGAAATAGCAGTGAAATAAAAATAAGTTTACTCTATGTCTTGTTGATAATTTTGAAAAAATCTTTTTGAACAACTTTTTGTTTTTCAGCAAAAACTATAAGCCTTGTATTGATATTGAATTGTTGATTTTTTCCCCAAAGAAAGCTATTCCCATTACATTATTTAGTTTTCATCATGTATAAATTAATTAACTATATAAATTTAAATACTTTTATATTCATACTTCACTTCTTTGAGAATCACTGAATTAGATATTCAGACATTCTTACATTGGAAAATTTGTTTTGCTGTCATTTTCCTCTGTCTTTTGAGACACAGGAATTCTGAACAGATGCATGTTTGTCCCCAAATTTTTAATCCAGATTTAACTTTCTGGGTAGAGATTGGTTCAGCAAGCATTTCCATCATAAATGGATTAACTGGATCATTAATTTTAATTAAGATTTAATGCCTCAAATTGCAAATTGGCCATTTCATGGATACGCCCAGAGCTGGTGTCTCTAGCAGCTACTAGGCTAAGTACTAAGGCTCCCTTCAACTTCAGGCCCCCTGCTTGCCCTTGCTCTTTGCCCAGTGCTGTGGCATCCTTACAGCTGCTGCCTGTGTTACAGCTCAGCTGCTGGTGCTTCTACATTTTCAGCATTTATTTAGCACTTCCATCTCCCCCTCCTCCCAGCAGAGATTCCAGTCACACCTGTAAGCAGCAATGTAGTTACAGCTGTCAGTATTTGCCTTCCCAACCCAGCAGGAGGGATGGCCCTACTGGGGTAAACTTTTCTTACCCAAAGGAGAGAGGCACCAGCTTCAGAAAGCTGCCTGTTCTCCCACTCTGGCAGTTTTTCTGGTTGGAAGGGTAAGGAAGAGAGGTGAAGATGAAAGAGAGGGGAGATGTAGAAGGAACTGAGTTATAAAGAGCTGCAGGGGGCTTATGGCAAAGAATCAGGGCCTGCAGAGGGGTTTAGCAGGGACAGGACAAAGTCAAGAAGTGAATAACACTGCTGGTTGATGTTTGAAATAAAGGTTTTCCATCCACTAAAATACTAGTATTTCAGTATTTATTCTTCTTGGTCTTAACATGTACTACTTTTTACTGAAACTGATTTGCCTTTCTAATTATATTTTCCTTGAGCTAATATCATTTTCATAGTTAAAAAAAAAAAATCAATGGTTGGAGGAATTCAAGAGAACACAATTACCCTTGCTTTCTATAACTGAAAAAGTAGGTAATTCTTACATGAACAATTGAGACCAAGTATTTTAAAATTATTTTTCATTGAGTAAAACAGACTACCGAAGTTAAGATATTTTCAAAATGCTTTTAAAGAAAAGGATAGTTTTTATTTTATAACATACTTAATTCTAGTATTTTTTTCTATACGCAACTGAGACCTCACAATTTGAATCAATCTCCTAGAAATTCTATAGCAATTAGCTTAAAATAAGTTCATATTAGGTACTAATGAATGATTATTTATAAAAAAATGTTAAGACCGATAACCAAATTAACATTTAGTAATAGAGGAAAAACCTTAAATTGTAACCCTTAAAAAAGTGTTTACTTCCTGAATAAGGAAAAATCCTTAATGCCAACTTCATATAGTAGGTGAAATGTGCTTACTTATTACTGATGGTCATAATTAAAGCCTAAGAATCATGCTCAGGTTAACATATTAATTTCTCTGGACTTGCATTTTCTTCCTCCTGCAGTCTCTATCCTCCTGTTATAGCCAAAAATATATAAAGAGGAATTTTATAAAGAGATCTACATTAACCAGAACAATAAAACTTAAGTATCTATTCCAGCATACAGTTAAAAACAATGAAATACGACATTTTCCTGGAGAAATATTTTTATAAATGTTAATAACAATGTACAAATAAATAAGAATATTGTGAATCTGGTGGGAAAAAAGTTGCAGATCTTTTCTACTGCATATCACCTCTATCAAGAATAGTTCTAGAAATAGGTATCATACCTAAAAGACAAAGCGTATAAGAAAAAGTATGAAAATAACCACACATTATGTCTGAACAAGTCAATATGTCTGAATAAGTCAACATTCTTACAGTAGAACGAAATGTACAAATTGTTACTTACTCAGACATTCTTTTAAAGCCAAAGCTTGAACATTAGCTAACTGTTTCTCTCTCTGTATAAGTTGCTCCCCAGAAAAACGTGGAAGTGACAAGAAGTCAAAAGGAAAGCCTGAGAAATAGAAAAGTCAGTATTAAAGATGTTCTATGACAACAAATTAGTATTCAGTTCCCAAGAAATGTGTTATCACATAATTTAAAAAAATAAGTCAATTACTCATCTCTCTTGATCTTGCATATTTCAAAATAAATAATTATTAAGCTGCATAAAATAAGCATACTAAATTATTTTGCATTTTAAACATTGACCTGCTTCTAAAATTGAGGGAATTTAGGTAGCAGAGCAGAATTCCCTCCATCACATTTTCTTCTACAGGCTCAGCTATTGAAACGCCTATATGAAACACAGACGGAGTATGGTAGCTAGTCTCTATAGATGGCCTCCCAGTGAACCACACCTCCTGCTCTTCACCTGTTGTGTAGTCCTTCCCCAATGAATCCAGGCCCTATGAAATCGATAAGGTACAATGCAAGTGACACTGAATGACTTCTAGGCTAGGTCATAGAAAGCTTTGAGGCTTCTTAGAACAAATACTCTAAGACATGTTAGTGACCATATAAGAAATCAGACTACCTTGAGATTATGACATTATGAGGAAGCCCAAGTTGGCCATGAGAAAAGGGCACGTGAAGAGAAAGTCAGCTCTCATCTGTTCCAGCTATCCTAACCCAGGCGATAAACAAGTGGGTGAAGAAGCCCTCTGTTATTTACCAAGTCCTGTTAAGTCTTCAGATGCCTGGAGCCCCAGCTGTGTGCAACTGCAGTCATATGTGGGACTTCAAAATAAAAACACCCAGCTAAGCCTAGTCAACCCACAGGACTATGAGACGTAATAATAAATAGTTATTTTTAAGCTAAGTTTGGAGAGGTTTAATCATACAGTGATAAATAACCAAAACATAGAGCTCAGAGAAAAAAAAAAAAGATGAGCAATAAAATAGAATAAGATGCTTGAGAGAAAGTAAATGAAAATGAGAAATAAATTACAGAAAAATAATATGTGTTTAAAGTGGAAAATACTAAAAATTTCCTCTTTGGAATTGAAGGCTGACCTACTAAATTTTACTAAGTATAATGCAAAAGGGATTAATTCTCTACACTCTACATTGTTTAAATATGTTATAATATGTTTAAAATACAAAGTAAATTTACTGAAAGTGAACTGGAGTTTGGGGAAAATAAGTTCATCAAAAACCACGAAGTTAATTACATGTACAAATAAATGTAAAAATGTTTTCTACCTAAAGTTAACACTTACTCAATTTGACTTCTTCTGTCCTTGATTTCATCTTTCCATGAATTAAATTGAGTGCAAATGAGCCATTGATCTGGTTGGCTGAGTGAATCAGGGTGGCTTTACATTTTCTATCGCCATTACCTCGTAACAAGAGATAATAGCTAGAACACTCTCCTTTCACTTCAACATCTGGAACTAAACAAAAACGATTATCTTAAGTAGGTGAAAATTCAGCATGCGACATGGCAGAATTATACATTTAACCCATAGGATATGATGACATTTTTTTTAAAGGAAGATTGGCCCTAAGCTAACAATTGTTGCCAATCTTCCTCTTTTTTTTTTGTTTTTTCTCCCCAAAGCCCCAGTACACAGTTGTATACCCTAGTTGTAAGTCCTTCTAGTTCTTCTATGTGGGAGGCAGCCTCAGCACAGCTTAATGAGGGGTGAGTGGGTCCACCCAGGATCTGAACCAGCGACCCCCAGGCAGCCAAAGCAGAATGCGTGAACTTAACCGTTACGCCACTGGGCTGGACCTCTAATGACATTTCTATGTTATTTTAAAACAAGCTGTTACCCAATACATTTGGGGCTAGTAGTTGTTCATTTAACTGAGAAAAGCTGTTAAAGCAGAGAATCATAACAAAAATGATACTCACAAAGCATACACATTTTACTTTAACGTTTAGTTTTACTTTTTAAATTAAACTATGTGTACTCATTAAGTTGTCATGTGGCTCACTAGAGTTTCAGGATAGCTTTCTTATATAACCACACCTATAACATATCAACTATTATTTCCAGCTTCTATTTCTTTAAAGTGGAATAAACTGACCCCTGAAACACACATAACTCTACCGGTGGGAGCAGAAGTGTAAGATATATTTAAGAGTAGCTTTTTGGTTTTTGCAGCAGGCATCCATATGTATCTTATAGAGGGAATAGAGAGCATTCATTAATCTGGCATGCCAGTTACGTGAAGGTCAGTTAAGACAGCTTCTGGTATATTTTAAAAACAAATCAAGTAAGGATTATAGTGAAGGTTGAAGAAAAACTGTGAAGCCTCTGAGACTAAAAACAGAAGCAGAGACCTTTGTGTTGAAGATGGTGAATTAGACATAAGCTTTTATTTTCACTATCTCCTGAAATTCCACAAAATAAGAATAAAGAGATTTAAAAAACAGCATAAATGTACAACGACCAATATCTGAGAGAAGAGATAAAAGCAACTAAATTTTGAAAGCAGAAAAGCAGATGAACAATTGATAACAGACCTCTCAGTCTCTCAACTGCTAAAGAAGCTGAGAAAAACAGTGGAGAAATCTTAGAAGCAACGTAATTTATACTACAACCCCCAACAAGAGACTCTGGGATGGTGGCCCCAGATGGCACTGGAAACAAAATGAAGGTGAAACAGGAAAATAGGTTGCAAGTGTGTCTGAGAAGCAGTTTGGCTTCCTGATCCCTCCTTATTTTCTTCAGGCAAATGATCATCCTTTCCCCAACCCAGAACACTATTTATTCTCTGCAGAAAGTAAAACATGGTGTCTCTGGCCCAGGAGATATAAGACAGAGCTTAAGGTTGGAGCTGATTATCAGTGGATTAAGTGAATGCTTGTATACTGTATATTGAAGCCCTTTACCCTTCTTCGCCTACATAACTTCCAGAATTTTGGAAGCCAGACAGCAGAATTGAGCCTTTTTCTGGAAATGTGGTCAGTCCTACAAATAAGACTAAAAAAATGTCAACACTGGGGTCATCTAATATTCCAGTGAGATCATCTTAAAAGGAAGATCACAGTCAACAAGCTCCACCATGCACCCAAATTTTCCATTCAGCTGTCTGGTACTCTCTCTTAAATGAGAGCAGGCAGCCAAACATTATGGGACCTCGAGGAAAGTCTCCATTACGAAAACCAGATGTCAAAATAAACAAAGAGAAAAAAGTGACTTGTAGAACAACAAAGAATATGCAGCAAAAAGAAATCACAAAAACAAACAAATCAGATCATTAAAATCCTCCAAGAAGATATTGCATCCATTACATAAGAACAGGAAATTATAAGAAAGGAATATTAAATAAGAAAGAACTCAAGGAAATTAAAATTAAGGAAGCAGAAATGTATATTTCAACTAAAAGACTAGAAGATAAAGTTTAGTGAATCTATCAGAAAATAGCATAAAAAGACAACGAAATGAAAAATAGAAGAGGAAGAGAGGGAAAGAGACACACAAATCAGGAGGAACAATATTCAAATAAGAGTAACAAAGGAGAGAACAAAAAAATAGAGAGAAGGAAATTATCAACAAAATAATTTCAATAACATTTTCCCCAATAAAAAGACAAGCTTCCAGGCATGCCGAGTGCCCAATACAAGAACAAAATAAACCCAACAAGGTGCATCATTATGAAAATTCAGAACACTAGGAACAACAAGTAGATTCTACAAAATTCCATGGAAAATCCAGGTTTCTTACAAAAATCAAGAATGAGAATGGCACTAGAATTCTAAACAACAGCACTAAAAGCCAATGGACCAATGACTTAAAAATTCTGCTAGAAAAATGTTCTTCAACCTAGAATGCTATACCTAAGTGAGAAGGTAGAATAAAAACATTTGCAGCATAGAGGGTCTCAAAAATTTTCCTCCTATGCATCCTTTCACAGGAAGATTTTAAAGAATGTGCTCCACCAAAATGGGGGAGTAAATGAAGAAACAGGAAGATTAAAGGATCCAAGGAACCAACAAAAAATGGCAAAAGATGAAAAGACAGTCTTAGACTCAAAAGCTATGGAAGAAATCTAGAGAGTAAAACCAACCAATCTGGATTACGCAGATCTGCAAGATCAGGAAGAGATTTCCGACCTATATGTGATTGATGGAATACCTATGGTGCTTGAATGTAGTGAAAGAAGTTTTACAATTGGGGAAGGCTTTGTGATTGAATCTAAAAAAAAAAAAAAAGAATCATTAACTCTAGGTAAAACAAAACATTGTACAGGAAAGGAAAATAAGATATGTTACAAGCCTCAACTGTGAATAGTGATTACATAATCATAATAATTAAAACAATGAATATTAATCTAAAATTACTATATGATCATTCTGGGAGGATAGGGAAATGGGAAGAATGTGAGGGTGTGGTGAGGGAAAGGAGTGAAAGAGGGTTCATACTTCCCAGTCTGAAAACTTACCACAAAGCTATCGTAATCAAGACAGTGAGTCATCGGTATGATAGACATACAGGTTAACAAAATAGAATTGCGAGTCCAGAAATATACTCTCACATTTACAGTCAAATGGTTTTCAACAAAATGGCAAGACAATTGGATGGAGAAAGAATAATCTTTTCAACAAATGGTCTTGGAACAACTGGACATCCATATGCAAAAGTATGAAGTTGGCCCCTTACTCCTTGACCTCACTATACAAAAATTAATTCAAAATGGATCATAGACATAAATGTAAGAGCTAAAACTTTAAAACTCTTAGAAGAAAACAAAGGCATAAATCTTCATGACCTTGGATTAGGCAATGGTTTGTTAAATATGAGCCCCAAAGCACAAGTAACAAAAGAAAAAAATAGAAAATTGGATTTCATCAAAATTAAGAACATTTGTGCTTCAAAGTACACCATCAAGATAATGAAAAGTCAACCCAGTATGGACTTTGGGTGATAAAGATGTGTCAATGCAGGTTCATCAATTGGAACAAACGTACCATTCTGGTGTGGGACGTTGATAATGGGGGAGGTTATAGGTGTGTGGGTACATGGGCTACATGGAAACTCTCTGTACTTTCCACTCAATTTTGCTGTGTACCTAAAACTTAAAAAATAAAGTTTATTAATTTAAAACAAGTATCCATATGACAAGGTTGCTGTGAGGATTAAAGGTGAATGCTGCATGGAAAGTGGTTACTTAGACCATTGCCTGATGTATTCTAATTGCTCAAGAAATATTATGAATTTTTTTAAAAAGTCAACCCAAAGAACAGGGGAAAATTTTTGTAAATCATCTATCTCATAAGGGATTTATATCTAGAATATATAAATAACTTCTACAAATCATAATAAAAAGACAAATAATTAATAACTGGGTAAAGGATCTGAAGAGACATTCCTCCAAAGATATATACAAATGGCCAGTAAGCACATGGAAAGATGCTCAACATGATTAGCCAATAGGGTTGTGTAAATTGAAACCACAAAGAGATACCATTTCACAAACCTTGGATGGGTATAATAAAAAATAGAGACAATAACAAGTGTTAATGAGGATGTAGAGAAACTGGAACTCTCATAGGTTGTTGGTGGGAATATAAATGGTACAGTCACTTTAGAAAATAGTTTGGCAATTCCTTAAAAAGTTAAACACATAGTTAACATATAACCCAGCAATTTCACTCCTAGGTTTATACTCCAAATAATTTTAAACATATGTTCACACAAAAACTTGTTCACAAATATTCATAGCAGCATTATTTATAATAGCCCCGAAGTGTCACCAATAGCTCAAATGTCCATCAACTGATGGGAGAATAAATAAAATGTGGTATATCCAGATGATGGAATATTATTCAGCAATAAAAAGGAATGATGTTACTGGTATGTACTACAACTTGGATGAACCCTGAAAATATTATGCTGTATGTGAAAGAAGCCAGTCATTAAAGACTACATACTGTATGATTACACTTATAAAAAATGTCCAGAACAGGCAAATCAATACAGTGAGAAACAGATTAGTGGTAGCTCAAGGGCTGGGGGGAGGAGTAGGTAATGGGAATGGGGAGTTATTGGTAATGGGTATGGAATTGCTTTTGGGGGAGATGAAAATGTCCTAAAATTGACTGTGGTGACGACTGCACAATCTATCCTGTGAATAGACTAAGAAACATGGAACTGTATACTTTAAATGGTTGAATTGTATGGTATATAAATTATATCTCAATAAAGCTGGGTTTTTTTAAATTTATAAATATCTTAGTAACGTAATGTTCCACTCACAAAAAAAGTTCTTAGCATTTTGTGATATACGTGTACATGATATATGTGTATATATGTATGGGTATATATATACTGTGTGTGTGTATATAAATATATGCTAAGAAAAAAATATGTAATTTTATTACAACGCTTTATTTCACAAATATGAACATACTGTAGGTTAAAGCCCATCCTTCAAAACAACC